GAGTCAAACCCTCTGGTGCCAGTTCCAGCCCAGTTCATTTCCAGCTGCCCGACCCCGGCCAAATCCTTTAAACTCTCCAGCCTTCAGCTTCTTTATCTATAAAATGGGGATAAACGTGGTTACGGGAGGTAAGTGAGCTGGGTCATTCAAATAAAACTCCTCAGCACCGCTCGTGCTCCAGGAAAGCAGGCCGCTGTCATCACATTCCTTGCTCAGTGGTCCTTTCGTCCGTCCGTTTGGTCTGCCTAGGAATGTGTCCCACTGCCAAGATTTTCTCTCTGCCTGGTGGGCCAGATCTCCAGCTGAAGCTCTGGAAGGTTCTTCGGTCTCACTTCCCGGGGGGAAAGTGGAAGTGGCGTAATAATAGAGAAATAAATCTAAAACAACCCACACCCCGAGCCAAGGTGAGATCTACCCGGTATGGCCAGGCAGAGAAAGGGCAGGACAATCCCGGGGGAAGGCCTCGTCCCTCCTAAAATCTCCAAATAGTCCTTAGTTAAAAACATCAACTTTTTTATCATCCAAGAGTTTAACAAGAAACCAGAAGAAAGGCTCTTCAGGCTCTGGTTTGCTCTCTACGCTTCCTCTTCTCACCCGCCCTTNTAAGCTCTGGAGTCAAACCCTCTGGTGCCAGTTCCAGCCCAGTTCATTTCCAGCTGCCCGACCCCGGCCAAATCCTTTAAACTCTCCAGCCTTCAGCTTCTTTATCTATAAAATGGGGATAAACGTGGTTACGGGAGGTAAGTGAGCTGGGTCATTCAAATAAAACTCCTCAGCACCGCTCGTGCTCCAGGAAAGCAGGCCGCTGTCATCACATTCCTTGCTCAGTGGTCCTTTCGTCCGTCCGTTTGGTCTGCCTAGGAATGTGTCCCACTGCCAAGATTTTCTCTCTGCCTGGTGGGCCAGATCTCCAGCTGAAGCTCTGGAAGGTTCTTCGGTCTCACTTCCCGGGGGGAAAGTGGAAGTGGCGTAATAATAGAGAAATAAATCTAAAACAACCCACACCCCGAGCCAAGGTGAGATCTACCCGGTATGGCCAGGCAGAGAAAGGGCAGGACAATCCCGGGGGAAGGCCTCGTCCCTCCTAAAATCTCCAAATAGTCCTTAGTTAAAAACATCAACTTTTTTATCATCCAAGAGTTTAACAAGAAACCAGAAGAAAGGCTCTTCAGGCTCTGGTTTGCTCTCTACGCTTCCTCTTCTCACCCACCCTTTTCTGAAAGTTCTAACGTACAGCCAGCCATTGGCCACAGTGCGGGGGGGCAGAAAAAGTGGCCCAGGCTGGGAAACCAAAATCTAGCTTTATGGATAAAAGCTCTGCATTTTCTGGATGTACCATGGAGAATTTTAATCTCAGGGGAGACAGGCAAATGATTAAACTGGAACCTTTACGGCATGCTTCATGAGAAGATGGTCACACACAGACTCCGCAATTAGAATTTGCTGGAACTCACTTCTCATAGTTTCTGACTGTCCCGATCCACTCTGTCCTTGTAATATCCACACCGAGGGCAAGGATGTGTTGGCTTCCTTTGCTTCTAACTCTGTCTTCACTCATCTTTCTCTGGCTCTCCTCCTTTCCTGACTTACAGAAAAATGTATCTGGCAGCTCACTGAAGACACATGCTTAGGGAAATTCATGTCCCTTATATCTAAGTGAGCCCACACCCTGGCACGGATGAGTCTGTCGCTTCTAATGGACACTGGCTGCTCCCCCCAGCCCAACAAATCAAGACAATCAGGACATTCATGCAAACTTTAAATATTGAGGCCAGAGGTCATTTTTTTTTTTTTTTTTTTTTTTTTTTAAATCATACTTAGCCTTTTCCTACTGAACAGTGCCCTTTACTGCTCTGTTCCACTCTCTCTTTAAAAATGTATACATTTCCCCGGCTCTTCCAAGAACAAAAGTGCGCTGCTCAGAGAAGGTGCAAGGGAAGAATTCAGATTTCTGAAAGCCGGGGTGGTAATTTAAACCCTCACCTCCCCTTTGATCCTATTATATTTTCCGCGCAGGCAGAAGCTCCCAGTGAGGGCTGGAGTGGGACGCAGCCGGAGTTTTAACATTCAAGGGAGCAGGCGAACTTGCCTCGCGCGGTGTGTGACTGAATGAGAAACTGCCCAGCGAGGGCCCTGATGGGGCAACCGGTCACTTCGGCTGTACGGGATCTGGGTCAAACAGTAAAACTCCAAATCAGAAAATATCGGCATTGTTTTGTTTGGCAAAGGAGTGGTTATTGATAACAATAATCCAATTGGATCAAAGATGCCATTTGCTCAGCTCAAATTAGAAGGGCACTGTCAGGCTTCGGCAAAGTTCTGCGACACTCCCTGGGCCACAGACCCTTTGAATGGGCCTCATCAAGTGGGGGCTAATAAAACCAACTAAGAACAAACACCGTTCTTTGCTCCCCATGCCTCTTTTGTTCCTAGGTATCTGTACAATAAATTGACTCCATAATCCTAACAGGAAGGTCTGGGAAAGCACCCTTGGAGCATTTCCTTCGCTCCAGCTCATCTAAATGAGAATATTTGCATTAAAAATTAATGAAAAAAATTAATGAGGTTACATGAGAAGGTCAAAAAGATTTGTATGCAAAGGATGGGGCTTCGTTAAAGAGCCGGACTCATCACCTATTTCCCCACAGCCGCAGACTCTGGGCGAGCTAACAAGCTAACGCATCCCCCATTCACCAAGGAATCGGAAACCGACGTTCCTATATAGTGGGGCCTCCAGGGCAAAAGGGGAAGGAAAAATCCTGGACGTCAGAGACCGTGACAAAGATGACCGCAAGGAATGTAAATAAAATATTATTACAAGTGGCTCACTCACCACCTCACACTCAACATCTCCCTCCCCCAGAGCGAAAAGTAAAAACATACAAAGTGTGTGTATGAGTGAGTGTGTGACTGTGAGTGTGAGTGTGTGTGTGTGTGCATGTGTATGTGTGTGATTATGTGTGAGTGTGCATGTGTGTGAGTGTGTGTTGAAGAAGGGTCGGGCAGCTCTTTGGGAAGTAGCCATGAACATGAAGAAGTTTTTCCTGCATTTGGCTCACTTTTACAACCACAAGGCTTGAGGTAGAGTTTTAACAGCACCAGGCTGTCTGCTAATTTAAATTTGGGGAGCATGAGCTTGAGCCCCATATTGATAAGCACCTCCCAGCAGTGATTTGACCTTAGTCAGTGATAAGTCACGTTTACATCAGCTTTTGAAAGCCAACACCCGGGCCCTCTCAACACGACACCTCAAAATGAAATAAATGCATTGCAAACGCAACTGTAATAAACCAGACTCCTGCCAAACGGACATGTGTACATTTCACAGAAGAGCCAGGAAGACATTTCTAGCAAGGAACGGTCTCCATGCGAGCACAAGCCAGAGCTCTCTCCTGCCAAGGGTCGCAGGCTCCGGAGGGCACAGGAGTCCCTCAAGGAAACAGGCCGGTAGAAATAAACTTCAAGGGACACAATCCACAGATTCTGCCAGCACTGACCACTATGAGGTAAGAGCCACTTTAAACGACTGTGGCCTCAGCTCTCTAAGGATGTCTAAGAGCTGCCCACCTCAGGTGATGGGGAACCCTCAACACCCCACCCCTCAGTCACCCCCTCCTGTAGAACAGAATCCATGACCCAAGCTAAAGGAGGAGTTCGAATGCACAATAGATAACTAGTGCCACTGCGGAAATGAAACACATCCCCAACACCTTTGGCCAGCCATTCAGAGCCCAACGCCGGCTTTCTCTTACAAAGACAAGGAGGGGACTAGAGGCTGGCCACCCTCCACCCCATCTCTAAGACTAAAGGTCCTTTTTCTTTTGAGACCCTGGGGGATGGGCCTGATGGCCCCGGTTCCGTCCTTGTGAGCCCACTCCCCACCTGCCTCAGGCCCAGAGAGGCGTGGACAAGGGCTGTGGGGCATCCGCTTCTGCTAACCCCAGTGGCAGTAAGCAGGTGAATCCTCAGTGTGAGAGCTGGCAGATTAGCCTCTCCCAGCATCCGAGGCGCAGTCTGGAGCTTTGGATTTTCATTGAGAAACCTTCCGAGCCAGCCAGGGTGCCTGGCCTTCGCTGTCCTAACTCTTCAGACACACTCAGCCTCCAGCGGTGCTATATTTTACCACTTAAACACTTCTTCAAACTTTACTACAGAACAATGTGGCTCTGAGCCTGCCAAAAGTTTAACTGCAGGACTCAGTGGATTTTTATCTGGCAGAGCAGCTGCCTTCCCTCTTGAGAATATCTGCGGGCAAAAGGAAGTCATCAAACCCCGTCAGGGGGATTCCAGGGTCCCAAGGGTCCCCTCTGACAACGCAGCTCTTTCTCACTTGGACCCCCTTCCCACCTCCACAGCATCAGCATCCAAATGAAAGAGATTTCAGCAGACGGCTGTGACAAACTTTGATGGGATGACCCAGTGCGTTAATTATTCCTGGCTCAACTTAACTTTTGATTTTCAAATATCTGGGGGAGCTGAGGTTCAGGGGAGATGAAGGGAGGGCGCCAACGAATGGGGAAATAAGGAGCATACCATGACCAAGCCAAACCAAGCTTGAGATTTCCAAATGATACTGGCAAATGGATGCTTTCAAAAATCATTTGTTCTGTCTTTCCTGAAGACAAAAAAGAAGAAAGAAAAAAAAAAAAAATCTGGATGCAAAAACCCTAACCCCAGACCAGCAAAATTGTGTCAGTGGAATGCAATCTAAAATTGATGGCCAGAAAGTCCAGCCTTGTTTAGTCCAACACGCACACGAGCACCCCCAAGACGAAAGTTGTGACGCCCCCGGCGATAGGTTCCTCCATTCATCACCCCCCGCCCCCGCCGGGCGCCTGGCGCTAGGTTAAGCCGACAGCATCCTGTTCCCACTACCCGTGCGTCTCACACGATCGTTTTTTTGGGCAAACCCCTGCAAGTGCGCCAAGGCGGCAGCTCGGCCCCTCCGACGCGGGCACCTCCTCCTCCAGGCTGGCCCCCGGCTGCCGGCTGCCCCTTACCTGCAGGCGCTCCGTGGCCGGCTGCCACATCTTCCAGCCGCGGGGTCCGGCAGAGGAGACGCTGGCGAGGCTCGGGGTGCGCCCGGGGACCAGGGGCCGCGGCGCCGCTTCACATCTGGGGCGGGCGCCTGC